TTATGTTTATATATTTATATTTATATGCTGTGGTCAGAATCATGGCTTTTGTTTTAGATACGTTTAGTTTTAATTTGTTGACGTTCAAGTATTTATGAATCTCCTCCAAGCAGATATTCATTTTTGTCAAAGCTATCTCTAAATCTTTATGAGATGTTGTTAACATTGTATCATCAGCAAATAAATTCATAAAGTCACAATTTTGACATAAACTGATGTCATTAATATATATAAGAAATAGTAAAGGGCCCAAGACACTTCAATTCACTTCTTAGTCTGTCTCTTGGATGGTCCCCTATATTGGATTTAGATTTTAGTGATGTCATTTTATTTTTCGTATTCCAGCAATTTCAACACATATTTATGTACAAAATATTTCAGACCAATTAGTGTTTTACTGGACTTTTCAAAATTCTTTGAAATAGAAATGTTGGTCGATTTAATGGATTATTTGAATTTTTGTAAACAACTAGTGACATACAACATGCATTTTACCGAAAAAATATTAAATTAATTTGAAAATACCAGTTGTTATTAGGCACTTTCGCATCATACCTAAAAATTGGCAACAAAGAGTTGAAAATTACACTATATGGAAAAAAAGTTTAATTTGATGTAAAAACAAATAACATTGGTATTCCACAAGGAAGTATACCAGTCAAGAATATTCAGAAAACTCTACATTCGGAGAGAGCGACCATCATTAACCAATAATCACTTCTCACAACCTAGAGATAGGAGATCATCAAGTCCAAGAATCATTTGCCGTATACGATGATCAAAGAATGACAGCCTTCTGTATTTGTCCTGCCTTTGTGTGACAAGCTGGCATGACCTTGAGATTCGAAAGTAGGAGGGACATCATTCCACCAAGACTCCAATTATCAAAACAACCATTTACCAAAACGGTCTGGATAAAGTCTATGAAGTTAGGGAAGAAGATCTCAATATTTCCTGTTTTTTTCTTAGAAATTTAAATGCATTTCTTGGATAACTATTTTATTATTCATTCACTTACTAAATAACTGTTCTATTAAAATTTACTTCGGCAAGAGCTAGATCAAATATAGAGGTATAGTCTTCCATTCAAAACGTTGGCTCATTCCTTCATTGAGGATATGCATTCAGTAACTACCTGGCCTTTTCTGTTGGTTATACCCCATTGCTTGGTTTTAAGGAAGATCAGTTTCGGCTGAATGAATATTTGAATACACCAATAAAGATATTAATTATTATGCTGATTTTCTACAGCTAGTCCTCTATGTCATTTGGAACATAACAATTGTACATCCTGAAATCACTTTGTATGAGAAATTCTGTCTTCATCCATATTTTTCAGTAATCACCTTAGTATCTATTCTGTCACTGAGAGCGTTGGTACTTGGTTTGCTTTAGAGGATCAGTTTAAATCTTATATCTTGGGGTGTCGGAAGGGCTAGGTTGTGACAAGGCCATTTTTTTAGGGTGGAGCATGCTCCAGCAATGCTTGTTGGTGAAGTACATTTTTATATTCTGTTGCCTTATGTTCTTTTTCTTAGCATTGATTCTACGATAAGTTAGAACAATTATCTAGCATAAGCCTTACAAGCATTCTAAGAATGTTGAAATCCTATGAATTCCAACTGTAATAAATTTATCTTGTGAATGAGTGAAATAAAGGCGACTTTGACAGACATTTAAAATTATACGAGTTTAGTTTATGGATAGTGAATAACTGCATTTGTTGTCTCATACCAATTAAAAAATTAATAAGATTAACGGAAAATAACAATTTTATAAAAAAAAACTGAAATTACAAAGAAATAACATACCTTGATAAAATTGTTATTTTCGGTTTATCTTATTAATTTTATAATTGTTTTGTTCAGGGTTTTCAAATCAATTTAAATTAGATTAGACAATGGAAGTCCGAACTGATGAAATACACCACGAAAAATTGTCAACCACTTTCAAACAAATGTGTGTTTTTTCTTATAACATTTTTCAGATCAATACTGAAAACCCTAAGGCAGGTGTTTTACAGTGAAACATCGATATCTACCTGTGAGGATGACAGTGTTCCATGTAAATGAAATTTTTATCTTCCATTCAGTTTACTGTGAAAGAATTCTCTGAATGATATCCGATTCAATTCCATAACAAATGTTTGGAATATAAACTGAGTAGAGAAAAATGTTTTTTGCATAATTCAGTGTTCATATAAAAGTAATTGTTTCGAAATAATTTTTCTTTCATGTAATTCAATGTTTGTGTGAAAGTAGCTTTTTCTTCCAGTTTGTGTCAGATAAATTCTCTCGAGAAAAATATTTGGTCGAGGCGGGAATCGAACCCACGGTCTTCTGATTATGAGTCGGGCACACTACCACTGCGGCCAATTCCACAACTTCTTTGCATGATCTACACATATATGTATAGAGTTACTTCTTTTGGAATTGATTGTTTTCTTCTCTTTTTTTATGGAACTGTTAATCATCATAACTGTTGCTACTGATCTGATAAAAATCCACACAGTCCATGAAGTTTACACACAAAAACTTGTTAAATCAAAGGGCTGGAATGTATGGCGGCTGTGCTTGTGTTCCTACTTCAAAATCTTATAGGAAAAGTATACTTGCAATTGTTAACAGACACTGTAAATCCCACGATAGTCATTCTTGAACATAGTGACGATTATAATTTCAATGAGTTGGCATATCCACAATTCCACAACTTGAGTTACTTCCTCACTATACTTTTGCTGTTTGTGAATTTGAATGAAACTTTTCTTGGTAGATGCATCAGTCGAAGAGGACCAGTGACGTGGTCCTTAAAATCATTCCATTCAAGTCTGTTTATAAAATTCAATCAGCATCTCTAGATGATTCACGACAATATCTTAAATATCAAACACTTCAGAACATACCTCAGACCAGTTTTCTTTTTTCAGAAAATTATTAAAAGAATTGACATTTTCTGGGTTATGTTTTCTTATTAGTTTTCCATTAGCCTTTCTTGATACTACTTTCTCTATATTAGCTATTAGTCTTGCAGGATGATCAGATTCAGAGATACTGAAAATGATATTTAGACTGTTTCTCCTAATATGAGTTTCTTCATTGATCAGTCGTTTTAGACCAAATGACTCAAATAGCTTTCATTATGTATATCATATTTGTTATTGAAATGTACACTGCAAGCTCCTATTCCTACTTGCTGGAATTGAATTTTTGAACATGTGATCTGTATACATTTATTATTATGATTTTCATTTCTTTTACTCTGTTAAGCAAGTGTTAATACCTACTCTGCATGTGCATATAATTCGACAGCAAGATCTGTATGAATATATTATTTAATGAATAAATGACTACCTACTCACCATTATGAGAAAAACTTTAACTTCTCCATTAGCATCCAGAGCAGTTATCCTAATGCTTTTGTCACTCGCTTTATCAACAACCATTTCAGCCCAAATCTACGAAAGAATTTTTTTTAGAAATAATTCAATTTATACCAGGTAATTTTTTGCAATCACAAAGTAAATTCGATTCCAAAAGAGTTTTTTTATACATTTTCTACAGATTAAAATCAATTTGATCGTTCATTACATGTTGGTAATTTTAGGAGGTGGTGAAAAGCATTTGTTTAATTCATTTTTCCATCCTGGAACCAGCTCATTTATGTGTGCTTTAAATGTTCTACCAGTTTGACTTATGTGAGCGCTGATTGAAACAGAAAAGATGCCTGGCGGAGACGAAGCGCAGACTTGGCGCCACGTTGCTTCCATGCCGCTTCTATGTAAATTGGACCATTTGTTCAATTTTCTGCCTGAGATTTTGAACTATCACATTGATTGTCCATAATAGGTCTACATGTTCCACCCAGAGTAACTTGAAACATTCAGACGTTTGCAATTGATTTCCATAGATGCAATTATGGAAAACACTCACCATTATACAGAATTGTATCAAATGCTAATGACATTCAGGTAGATCTGTTCGATATCTCTGAAAGTAGCTTGAAACAAAGTTTGCCATTACTTCTAAAAAACAATACATAGATGTGCACGTCTATATGTGGCATGTGTATATGTATCACATTGTACTCAGTTATAGTCCTTGGGTTTAATCTTAGTTTTTAATTATTATTTTTCTTAGTTTTTAGTTTCTATTTTTTTTAGGTTTAATTTTTTAGATTTAGTTTTAATACTGATCTTAATCATAAGTATTTATATACACCTTTGTAATAACATGTTTGTATATTGGGTGCTGCCTGTTAGATAAATAAATAAATGAATAAATAAATAAATTCTGATAATCTGGTTTAAAACTGATTTATTTTTGATAAAGAATTCCCTTGATGTAGTGTCAAAATACCCAACTTACTGAAATGTTTTCTACAGCTCTCATTTTATTATGAATTTGCCAACACACATATAGCTCTTTTTTACATTACGAAAAAACTGGCAACTTCAGAAGCTTAACCCCAGTGTACTACAGAATACCTTAAATGGTTATGAACTGTTGCATGTATTCAAGGCGGAGATAGTTATCCCTCTAAAAATATTTTTGATTTTACATTTTCATTCAATATGTGAAAATATTTGAATCCCACATTCATTTTAGTAATTTCATTGAGTTTCTTATGACTTGTGTAAACAAATATGTGGCACTAATAAATTATCAATCTATTCATGTTCCAGGATGGTGAATTGTATATGCCACTAACCTGAATTCTTAATTTTAATACAAAATTTCAGAGATTAAAGTCCAAGTTGATAGATACAAAAATATTTTTTTTGAAAATTTAAAACAATCTAGGTGAAAAATGTACCTCGACATCTTCCGCATACCTACCTTAGTATTGAGTATAACCCTCAAACTTCCTGTAGTCCGGAAGACTATTCTACTTCCTATATGGTCATCATTTTCAAAATCATTCAACCTAAGTGTACCTCTTCCTCGTTCTTGCCAACTGCTTGAAACTTTGTCAAAAGAAAATAATTTACATGATATTTTCAAAATATTATTTTCATCTTCTTCACCAGTTATTACTTCTACTTCTTCATATTTTCTTTTATTTGCCCTCGACGTTTCTTCATATTCTCTAGCTGATTCACTCAAAGATTTCACTTCCTTTTCTTTTGTGATACCATCAGTTTTGATGTCGCTTTTAATAGCACTACTAAAAAGCATTTCTGATGTGCCATTGGAACCCAAACTTGTTGAAGCTTTTGGTTCCTCCTGTTTATTTTCTCCAGCGTAAACTCTTTCTTGTAAATTTTCTCCAAATACAAAAGTACTATTGGAAACACTGTTGGGTGGTGAAGGTGAGTGCTTCGAGGGATTTGGTATAACAGTTTGTTGTTGGATTTTACTTTCGGGAACAATTAGGGGAACAAATTTTGGTGTTTCACCATTAACTTGATTGTTTTTATCACTGTTATCACTTTTATCACTGTTAATTTTATCACTATTATCAGACCTTTTGGCCAAAGGATTAAGTTGACTTGGTTTCAGAACGAAGGGCTTGCTACTGGGTCCAGTTGAACTATTCAAGTTGAACTGTGGTGGTTTTAGAATACCTTTTGATATTCTATTCTGAGATGATGCAAACGGATTGGGGGCACTCGTTATGGAAGACCTAAAGGGACTACACACTTTGAAATCTTCTTTGTTGTGGTCATTTGTATTCTTTTCATTGTCTTCAATTTCTACGACAAAAATTATTGTTAAAAAAGTGTATAATTGAAAATAATAATCATATTAACCATTTCCATTTGGCCCTTCAGGACTATCCACCTTCATAATAATGGGTGGATGCAATACTGCTGGTTTAACTATTCCATCACCATTACCTACAAATAATTTTTACATACATGAAATAATACAATGCAAACTAAATTTAATGTATTTTCTTAGAATTTTCAAAATAGTAAATAATTAAAGACGAACAATCAATATAGTTTAATAAATTGTTATTTTTCAAACTTACTTTTATTTGGTTCCGCCATCTTTTGTAATAATTTATTAAATGTTGCCAATGTTGCTATATTGCCAACCAACATATATCTCTCTCTATTGTTGTATGGACACTGCTTCCTTCTCAGGCGCTTCACCCGGAGACGCAACCCTGCGTCCGTTTTTTGGTCTTTTAAATCATTTCTTTATGGCTATGTTCGAAGGGGTTTATGACAAATAGCACAAAACAGGTATGATTTATGAAAAAGTTAGGACATATCGAAGATGAAGAACGGAGGTATCCACCCTCCCCCTTTTATATTCCTATTTGTTTAGTATTTCAGTGCTTCTTATATTCAGATATCTTGGGACTACATTTGTCTATAGGTGCGGGTATTACGGTTTCTTTTAGCTATTGGTGAATATACTCAGGGATAATATTGATGGAATGTCTTTACGTTTGTAAAGACATTCCATGTAAATGTTTGTAAATGTACACTATTCATGCAATGGTCAGTATTTTAGTGTGATAATACTTAGTTGTTATGTGTCGTTTAATCAAGGTGGGAACTTTCCAGTACCAAGGTATCTGCGGATATCCTGAGAGGATCCTAAAATATATTTTACATTTCTTTTATATGATCAAGGAATTGCTTCCCGATCTTTTGATCTTTTCTTTCAAGTGTTGTTAGAAGTTATGCTTCTCTGTTTTGATATCCGATGGAATGTTAAGAACTGTGCCGATTTTTGCAACTGAACAGTCAAATTTGAAGAACTTGTTCGAACTATTCCAGTTCTTATCGAAAACAAGTTCTTTTTAACTGTTCATGTTCACCTCTTCTTGAATGACGTCTCATCTTGCGTCATGGTCACTTTTTAGAGTTTGGTTCCGAGTGGTACCGAATTTCCATACGTTCCCTCCATTCGTCTTGTTGTTCTGAAGTTTTATTTCAGTAACAGGCTGAATTATACTGTAAAATAAATAAAAGATCAAGCTCTACTTGGATTTTTTTTTACTCACAGAGAAACAACTGCAACTAGCAACATGTGAAATTTGCAAGCAGGTTATTTCCTTAAAATCTTCCGTGACAAATTTAAAGCGTCATATGTTAAAAAAACACTCTACTGTAATACAAAGTGTTTTGGTTTTCTCCGAACCGATTCGGAACTATTTCAGAACGGTAATTATTAGTTCGTACATTTGAGTAGGGACCGTTTAGAACTTCGAATTTGCGTTGTGGTTTTGTGGATTTTGGTAGTAACGTTTTCTTAATCTCATTTTTATCCGTATTTAAGTTGGTGTGTCATTTGGTATTTTATCTACAATACTGTCTCCGGTAAAACAAAGAAACTCGGAGAGTTCATTGCGACCTGTANTTAGGACTTTCATGTAATATTACCTGAATACAAGCAATGAATTCAAGTCGTCGTTCAAAGTCCGTGGGTTTCAAACCTTGTACCAACTGAATTTTGAATGGGTGGTATTTATTTTCTTTCAGAATTCTCTGTACATTAGATTTACTCACACCGACTTCTTCTGCAAGAGTACGGATAGAAACATGTGGATGAATAATAATATAAGCCAACACATTGATCTCTAAATCTTCAGTTCTAACAGATCTCGTATGATGACGATGCTTTATAGTAGAAGGAAATGACCCAGTTCACAATTTTTCTACAACTCTCGAAAAAGTCATTCGTGACGAAATGGGTCTGTCTGGAAAACGTTCTTGGTATAGACGTTGTGCTTAACTTTTTCACTCTTGTCTTTAAACTCAACTCAAAGTCCAATGATCGTTTTACCAGAGTAGAGGTACCTAACCTCCAATCTTTGTTTATACACTTGTCAGAATAATTTTTTTATATGTTTTGGTTTTTTACTTGTTGGGACCGTTCCAGAACTGTTCTGTGACTGTGATGTTCTGCGCATTGATTCGGCGTCGATACGGGACGGTTCAATAACAGTTCGAAATACAGAACCAAAACAAACCTATAGAACAGGTTGATTGAACAGTTGACTGATATCTGTTCCGAAAAACCAGTTCGGTTCTTTTGGGCCCATCTCTATTGCCAATATGCTCGCTTTCTCATTTCTTTCAATATTTGCGTGTCTCAGTATCCACGCGAATTTACAAGTAAACTGTTTACTAATTAAGTTACGTACTATCTCTTTCATATTTATGGTAATATAATCACACTTACTTAATTCTATTTAAAGCACCTTTGGAATCAGCGAATGTGATATATTTGTTATACCTACCCCTTATCAATACATGTCATATCATTCCTTTATATATTGCAGTTTTTTTTGCATCACATACATTTGAAAGTCTAGTAGCCTAGCTGAAATGCATAATCATTCTCAGGCATGAGTATTTATTCCTCTCCCTTATTGTTTTTCATGCATACGTCTATACAAAATTAAATTTATCTTGATTGGTCCACAAAACTTGAAAAATTCAACGAAAGTCATTTTTTGTGGAGGAAAAAATCAGTTTTTTATCGACCTTTTTTTGGGTAATTGTTACCTTCCACATTCTGAAAAAATATAAAAATTATAATGGAGAACTTTATACAATTTTTATTCTCAGTGGATTGTGTGATAGGCATATTAGGATATTTTATTTGAAATAAATTACATATTTCTAGTTGTGTTCTGGTTCTATCTCCATATCTAATCACAATAAAAACTTCCGAGTATTTTTATTTCAGTTGATAGGGCTATTATTCATTTCATGCAATTAACTAATTCTTATAAGAAAATGCCATTAACAGACTTAAATTTGACCCAACCTAACTCGATTTTTTTTCTTATTAGTCAATGGGGTATGCTGGAAGACTGGCAGTAAACAAATCTAAAGCAAATGAACTTTTAACGTTTAAGCCAGTTTCGATATACCTACACAGTAGGTTTAATGGACTGACACCTGTGGTTTTCTGATAGGCGTAAAATGGCAAATGAGTAGGTAATGATTTTCTTATTTATTATTCCACAACTGCTCAACAATTTAAAACATCTGAAATTTAACATTGAACAAAACCAAATTAATTAACAGTAAAATACATTTTTGAAACAAGCTCTTTTTAACTTGCTCTAAAAAGAAGAAAATAAGCTTTAAATTAAATTAAAGTTTATAATGACATTTATCTATTTTATAAAAAAATATTTGAATGAATGAATACGTTTATTTAGGAAATCCTAATATACATACAATAATAATAATANTCTTCATCTGAGCTGGACGAACTAGTACTTTGTGGAGCATTATTTCGACGCACCAACAAATTTCCAACTGCCGCCGTAAAAGGCATTTTTATTATATACGAACATAAATTAGTTAAATACTCCTCTAAAATTAAAGTATATACATAATTTTTGTTTAATAAATCATGTTAACCAACAATTAATAGAACTTATTCATACCACTTACAAATTGTAACATAACCTCATCAACTTTTTGTTTTGTTTTTTTAAACGCGCCATGTGTATTATTTAAATGAACGCTCAAAACGCTCCAAAATCATTCCACTTGAGTTAATGATTGTGACGACGCCCAGAACCAAGTGGAACGACAAAAACCGTGGTCGTTGTGAGTGCTTAGTGGAACGCATTGTTGGTAGATCTTCAGATGACCTTGAATCACTTTCCCAGTCGACATGCCTCAAATAATATTTGCTTCAACTTTTCTCTACTAATATTTTTTGTCTTTTATACACCATACCATCAAATTGTGGATGCGAAATTGCAACAAACACGACTCCACAATCAGTGAATGGAATGATAAAATATTTGTGAATCTATTACTTGAACCCCCAGAAAAACTATTAAAATATTTGTACTTGAACAACAGTAATTGAACTTGATGTTTTGAGAAGTATTTAAGAACAAGTACAAATATAAATGAAAAGGATTTATACTTTTGCATTAATTTTTCTCAAGTATTTCCTAGTTCTGCTTTTGTTTGGGTAAATTTTACTGTACTGCTATGCTAAGCCGGATCGTTAGTCTCAAATATATAAAAAAAAACAATATTGGAAATGCCGATAAAGCTCTCGCCAGCAAAAGGCCAAAGCCATATCATAATAAATGTGCTCCCACATTTATTATACGACAACTGGTTATAAAAAAACCAGATTTTAAAGATTACCTGACAAAATGTATATTTTTGCGATACTCGATTGTTTTTTAATTTTTGTATTACCATATTTATGAAAATTGAGAGTTCCTTACACAAAGCTTGCCGCTCTTTGAGCTTTGCGTCACGGTGAAATTTTATATGATAGTGAAATACATCCCTAAGGCCTGGCCCCGAATCGCTCCTGAAAAAATTGACACATCCATATTTAGTGAGACGATTGGCGAGTGAAATCTTTTCAAGTTTATTTTCAGTTACTTCAGCGAAAAATGTAACCATTAAACAAAGGTGGAGAATCATTGGACAACTATTATGTTAGACGTTGTAGAGAAACAGTATGATAGATAATATCCTTGTGCTAAACCTAAAATATGGATATCAGAGAGACGTTCAACAAGTTCAAACAATTTTGAAAAAATATTGCAGTATATAGGTATTTCATAATCAAAAGATTTTATTTTATGACCCTGAATAATACGGGTACTCCTTGTGAGGTTAGATGGGTGATTGGAATATTTTATTTTATTTCCGTTGAAAGTTGATATTTGAATATAGGAAATGATTCCAACATGCTGTGAAAGTTTAAATTTAATCATTAATTAGGACAATCCTGCCTTTGAAAACTTAGTCTTATTGCAATTGTTTTGTCTGGATCATTACTTTCACTAATGATCCAGAGTTATTAGTCCCTATCTCAATGAAAAATCACTAAAAATTAAGTTCATCTGGATTTTTACCCAACACCAAATCGTTATTTTTAACATCGTAACACGTGTTTCGATCACCAAGTGATCATCTTCAAGAGGACGATCAAACTAAAACAATATTATCCTTATTTACACCATAGATACCTCTTCTATAGGTACCTGCGTCTTGAGTGTCTTAAATCAATTTCACAATATTGCCTTATATACTAGTCTTAAATTAATTTTACAATGTATCCTTGTGTAATAGTCAGGTATATATAATAATTAAAATATTATTTTAATAAAAAGTTATATAGTATACTATTAGGTATTGGTCCACCATTCTTATTGATAATATTATGTTTAGATGCCTGTTAACTCATCTAATCTTAAGATTAGGATAACATTATAAGTATGTTTAATTTGATCTTTTTCTCGAAGATGATCGCTTGGTGATTGAAACACCTGCCGAGGTGTTAAAATAACGGTTTGGTGTTGGGAAAAAACTCCAGTAACTCCAGTAATATTCATTACTACACCAAAGGTTCCAAACAGTGCATCACAAGCAGAAGATCTTCAGTAATATTTTTCATATACATGACATAGAGAAAGATAAGTAGAAACGGCCATAATACAATTCACTGGGAAAATTATTCAGTCATTTGAGAATAACGAAATAGTCCTAGGTATTTTCTTGGAATTATCAAAAATCTATGATGGCTCAAATCACAAATATTTGTTATCAAATTTTGCTAGATATGGAATTAGAGGTAATATCTGGAAATGGTTTCGATCATATCTGACAAACCGCTAACGAAAAACCGAAATCATGAAGCACGGAAATCAGATGCAAGAAAAAATACCGTAGGCATCCCACAGGAAAGTAACTAGTCTCTTTCTTTTCATTATTTTCATGAAAGATTGAAAGTTTTGTCAAATCACGAATTATGCTGATGATACAAATTTGTTAGTGTCAAACTACAATTATCCAAACTGAATTATAGAGTCAAGTATTAGACAGATCAAACCACTGGCTCTCAAAGAACAATTTGATTCTGAATGTTGAGAAAACAAATGTAATTTCATTTAGAACAACACAGCAAAGAATTGAAACACTAAGTACAATTAACTGTCAAATAATGAACTTGCAGTTCAGAATTCAACAAAAGTTTTTCATATAGGTATATGTAAATGAACACCTAAATTGGCATAATCTTATTACAAATTTGGAATAAAAATTGAATAGAATGCTACACTATCAGAGTTATTAGTCCCTATCTCAATGAAAATCACTAAAAATTAAATATTCTGTTAATTCAGTAAAATCTTTTTTCTCCATGACAAAATTGTACTGTGATTCTATCACTATATTATTGTATTGCGTTTTATAGTATATTATGTATTCATTGTATTTATATTTATTATCTTTATTTTAGTTAAGATTTAACAATTTTTTTTATAACAAATTGTAATTGGGACTACCCGTTGAATAAATAAATAAAAATCTGGTAGAATATTCTGGAAAAGCAGCAGTAATACCTCTGATGTATTCATTATACAGACAAAAATAATGAACTTTCGCCAGTCATGGCGAGGATTTTTCAAGGCAAATAATATCTTGACCACAGTATATACATATTATATCTATGAGAGAATTGAAAAAGAAGTAGATTCTTGAAGCTACACCAAGTCATAATTATCCTATGTGCAATGTGAATATTCCAATTCATAAATTGATAGGGTCGGAAAGACATCCATTCTATTCATCTATGAGATTTTTCATTGAAATACCAGACATTCAAAATGTTACAGAGCCTGACAAAATAAAAAAGATGTCATAGAGCTTTTGAACAAGTTAGAACCTTATTCACTTCGAGAATTTCCAGATAATTCTTAAACTTTTATATACAAGGCGTTTGACATCATTTCATTTCACGTATTACATTATTTTTTCATGTAAGCATTCGCTGAAATATATCACTGTTATTATTACTATTAACAACTAAAATCAGCATCATATTGGTGAACTAGACACGACTTTGAAGTTAATGGCATATTGGCGATGAAATTAACAAATAAAACAGGCCGAAAGATGCCATTTTGTGAAAATCTAGTAGTTCACTGGTTGCCATTTTCTGCTACCCTTTATTACTTATTGAATACAAAGCACTATTGATTCATGTACTGATTGTCTGCAAATCCATCAAATTTTTCTAAACTGGTTATTGAGATTTATTTCCTTTCAACACTGCAATCGTTTCCGAGTTGTTCTCTTTATAGTTATGCTCATATTTATTTCAATATTTTTTAATAATCAAGATTGATGTACTCACACGTTAGTATTAAGTAATATTAGTGTCAGTAGAATAAATTACACAAAAATAAAATAAATTAAACAAACTTAACACTCAATAAACTATAAAAAATAAATAAAATATATATTCCAAATCACAACATTCGCTGCGGATATGGGTGTCTTTTTGGTTTTACTATTCGAAATTCAAAAAGAAAACTATTTTTCACATCTCTAAAATGATGCATTATATTTTTAGAAATATGAATGCAGTTAATGCCATCAGCACATGAACTAAAGTACAACATCTTCAATTTTGAATCTGTCGAGTGATGTAAAACAACCTGTTGCTGATATCGTTGAGCTTCTTCAGTTGGTCCAAAAAATTGAGTAATTATCCATGAAGAACCATCATAATCGGTTCCTTGTACACTCCAAAAAACTTCTCCTTCACATTCAGTCCTCCATAAAGTATGGGAAAACAGTTTTCCTATTCGATAAATTTTAGTACCATATTCTACTTTATAATTATCGGTGACATCAATTTTTTCACAAGATTCCGCGAATAAATCCATCATTTAATTATTCTTGAGACCTTTTAGTAAACTGTATTTGTAATTGATTTTTGTTATAAAAGTACCCTGTTTTATTTTGCTCGCCTTTTAGGAGTTTTCTCTTTCCTTAACATGCTCAGAAGATACCTGAAAGAAACCAATATACAATATACAATGAAAAAACTATTGCCGGACATTTCAATCAGTCGAAGATTTTTTTATTCCAGAGAGGTGCATATGACGTGCTCCAGATTCAGGTGAAAACATCTTACCATATAGACCTACGACTTTGTAGGTACATGTGGCAGATACCCAACGGACAAACAACAACTAACCCAGCTAATTCCGCCCAGAGAGTTGAAGTGAAACCATCAGGCACCTGTGCAACGTCTTCAATTTGGAAAATTCGTCGCAAGTTATTTCCCACTATGAAAAGCAGCAATTAATTTCATTTGGTCGATACGACCAACCGATGTAGCGGTTTCGAGGTACTTGCCCCATCATCAGTATCGGGCATGGTCTCTTCAGAACGGTGTGAACCGTCTGAGTATCACGACCAAACAAATATAATTTCAGCTAGTCATGAACTTTTTCTGTAGTTGATTCAGTGGGATGTCCACTGCGCCATAGAGGTGCATATGACATGCTCCAGGTTCAGGTGAACCGGAATATTTATCATCATTCTGACTCCCACCCCAGAGTATGTGTTTGTGGAGTTGTTTCCTAGCTCTGTCTACAGACTCTTTGAAAAAGAAACCTTATATGAAAAAATGTGTTTCATATTATTCATGCTTTTTCAAACAATGGTAACCCAATAATCAATCAAGCCAATCAACAACTTTCAAGTAATACACTATTCATGAAGACTCAATCATAGTTACTTCAAATACGAACTGCAAACTACTAGTAAATAAAAATACGATTTCACTACATCAAACATAAGGAGACGATAATAAAATTTGGATTCCCTCCTCACAATCTTTCTTGAAAGAAAGTAAAGATTGGTATAAGTGCCATTTACATAACAGATAATAATAATAATTTATGAAGTGAAAGTTGTCAATTAACACACAAATTTCCGCAATCGCAAAACTGTACCCAATATATTAGAATAAATATGTTATATATCATGAATCTCAAAAATTAACTCGCCTGTTTTTTGACTGACTAAATGATGACATTTTTACAGCAACATTTGACTTGTGAAGTAGACTTTGTGAGGTAACATTAAAATAAATTAATTTAATTGGGTTTTCTCCTCAATGAAATGAAAAGTCTTCCATGAGGGGAGTTTCTTCCATTATTTCAATAATATAATATCCGAGGCGAAGAGATATATCTTTCCACGCCATACTTAATAAAAATGGTAGGATGTGATTTTGAGAATTCCTTTCTTTATGCATAAAGAACAGATAAATAAATACAGTACTCTTTTATGCATGAAGAACAGATAATACATTAATGCTTCAACATTCTATACTGCATATTCAAACATAAATTACCTTTTTATTTGATTGTAACATATTTTTCAGTTCTCTGTTTCTGGTTTCAGTGTTAAACTGTTCTTCTCCAGAAATTATAGTAGAAAAAGATTTTCCATATTTTTTGAATGATGATTTTAATGTTAATTTCAGATAATTTCAGTATACGAAAGAAGTCAACTTCATATTTTTCATCATGAATCATGAAATTCATGAATATCATGATTCATTATCCGAAATATCATATATCAACACTGAAAATAGGACTCTTGACCTTGACTGAAAAGACATTTTCGTTCGTCATTTTTGAGAAGTACAAAAGTAATAAATATTTAAAAAAAATATGTTGAAGATATAAAATCATAGTTGCTTCCCCTTGCGAATTTTGATGATGAGGGCCTTTGTGATATTGGTAGGAACATTTCAAGTTAATTTATTTATTTTAGAACTACTTAGGTGGACAATGGTTATTTGCAAATTTCTAATTGATCTGTAGATTTTTTAGTTTTACCCCTGTTGATAATAATATGTTAGGGTTAGGTCCAAGGTGATGGATCTACTCGACCTTTCAATGTAACCAGCAAGGATTTATTATGGCTCACACTTATTCAAACTCATTCAAATAAGTCTAGTATCTCGACAAAGTCAAATAGTTTATATGATGACTGATCTTTCAGGTCAGATGACAAGAGGGAAACTCTGTTAAACTCTGAAAACATGATTTGATCTGTAGCGAGGCAGGCAAAAAGTATGTGCTCTTCTGTTTTTCATAATTTTCCAAACAAAGGTAACACACACTGTCTTCCGACTGTCCAAGTCTCTGTGCATATGACGATTCAAAAGGCAGGGACCAGTAACAGATTTTTCTGAAGTGCTTTGCATAATCTAAGAATCTAAGATATTCATTTCATTGCAAGAAGATTGAATATGATATATGTGGATGACACACAGACATAAACGTTTATTTTAAAACGCGTTAGAATTATTTCAGTGTTTAATAGCAAAGGTAGTATAGCTACCATTAACAATATTATAAATTGAAATTGACAGATAGAGTCAAATTAAAATACATTTCTCACATACCAGTACTAAATAATACTCTTCTTAATATTACTGGAGTTTTTTCCCAACACCAAATCGTTATTTTTAACACCTCGACACATGTTTCAATCACCAAGCGATCATCTTCAAAGAGGAAGATTAAAACTAGAAACTGATGCGAGCTAACCCTATTTATGCTATAAAGGTAAACCATCCAGGCGTACCAACCATACAGGTATACCAACCTAAATTAATGTGTAGGGTGTTGAGACTGGCCTGAACGAATTGTTCTTTTAGATGATCTAAATTAATGGGAAAAAACTCCAGTAATATTCATTACTACATCAAAGGTTCCAAACAGTGCATCATAAATACTCTTCTTGATACATGTTTCTTCAACCAAGAAGGCATTATAATAGCAATACCATTTTCGTTTTAAATTTGTTGTATAATATGTACCAGTTCATTTTGAAGAATTGCATATATTGTTTGTAACTAAAAACCCCTTTTTTGGTATGCCTTTCGGAAACTCGTCTGAGAAATTATATTTTAAATTCTGAAATGGACATCTTTGGATATAATATTTACAGGGCTGACAGTTATAGTCGGCACACTAGAGGTTCAGTCATTTATATTAAGGGAAGTTTTAAAGTATTACCCTTAGAACAATTACATATAGATCTCCGAAAAGTAGCTGAATAGACTTTTTTCATTTCTCATGATGATCTCCTAACACATAGTAACGGCTACATCAATCAATTTATATGGATTTGAAAAATATTATTTTTTCAATGTTGTGGAATTGGCCGCGGTGGTAGTGCGCCCGACTCACGATTGGAAGACCGTGGATTCGATCCCTGCCTCGACCAGATATTTTTCTCAAGAGAATTTATCTGGTTGAAAAAGGATGATTATGCAACCGTGTTAGGAATCACACGTTAAAAGGTAAGACCTCGTTAGTTCTTAGCTCGCACAAGTTTCTCAACTTCTGAGAGTTATCGTTCATATGGAGGCGACAGCTGATTAACGGAACAGATTTTAAACAGATTTTTAAACAGAATGCCTAGCAATGTTGCAAAAAAGTTGCTCAACCTTGTTAATACGTCACTATAGACTAGTACCAACAAATATGCTAAATTCCATTGAGAAAATTTCAGAAAAGTTATTATACCAACAATTGGTAAGATTTTTTGAGGATTAAAATATGGTTAACTAGCAACTCTCCCCGGCTCCGCACGAGTGCAATGCTTATACTAAATATACATATTATCGATCGCTGTTAATCCTAAAGGTACTCAATTAGATAAGGATTAATGCTGTATTTCTTAAAATCCTTTAGTGAATAAGCCATTATTTCTCGAGGATAAAGAATGATTATTGTATCCCTAAGAGATTGACATATATCATCGCAGAGTTTTTTTGTACACCTTGTTAAGGTGTGATGCAATTGAACCCAGGTGTGTGTTTAATAAACCGTATGAAATACATATAAAACAGAACACTGAGTCAGATGGTACAAATGCAATACACATATATACAGACGGCTCAAAAACCAAAGAAGGCTCAGGATGTGGAGTGTACTCCAGATCACTAAGCCTAAGGATTAAGTGGGGATGGGAAAGAATACTAGCGTGGTTCAAACAGAACTAGCTGGTATCTCAATCGCCACAAAAGAAATAACCAGGAAAGGAATTTCTGATAGCAGACAAGCCCTATCAGCCTAGAACAGACATGTTACCTCAGGGCTAGAACTAGAGTGCCACCAAGATTTAGCCAAAGCCTCCGTAGATAATAACATTGTCCTAAGGTGCGTTAAAGGGCACGGCAGGAGTAAATGTAATTACATTGCTGACTCTTTAGCCAAGGAAGCGGCTGGACTAAAAATTTTAGGACACAGTGGCACCTACGGCCTGATGACTTCGACAATTGCGGAACTAGCCAAACGTCACACCCATGCTCAATCCCTTAAGGGATGGGATGAAATCAAGGGATGTAATCTTGCCAGGATTATCCTGGGTGACCCTGGAAAGCTGGCGCCGAAGAAATATCTGGCGATGACCAGGAAAAATCTACGCCTTACAGTAGGATTTGTGACTGGCCATTATCAACTAAGGACACACCTCCACAATATGGGGCTAGTGGACACACCACTTTGCAGGTTGTGTGAACAGGAAGATGAAACTGTCAGGCATGTTTTATGTGAATGTCCGGAGTAAATTGTCAATAAGAGAGTGTGTGTTCGGCGAGTCTACACCTGCTGATATAAAGGAGATGTCTCCCAGAGACCTGTCCACCTTCCTGGAAAGGACAGGATGGACGATGACCTAGGAGTACAACTTCTCGGGAGGTTGTACAATGGGTCACATGTGGCCTAAGTGATGTGGGCCTACACTCACCCTCCCCACTCTACATATACAGATACCAATCAAGTAGTAGTAGTTTCCTTCATTCTTGAAGATGCTAACTTGAAACTCGCATTGAGAAGAGTATTGCAGTTAAGGTGTTTGGGAAAAGTGCTTTTAACATAGCATTTTATTGAAATAAGTAGAACGACCCACTCACGCTAAATAACCATCTGATATATACTTTTGTGTTACTGAAAACTAAATGAAGCATTGACACGTCTGATATTACAAGTCACCAAGTAATGAAATATGGATATTTTGCTCAGTTCAGATTTGTTTAGTATATTGCTATATTAACAATTTTTTTTTCAATTTCTAGAAGAGTTGGAATCCACCAAGGAATATTCCAAATTGTCGAAAACACTCCTGGAAGTGATTTCAGATAAAAGTGCTCTTGGATATTTTATTCAATATATGGAGTCCAGAAATGCATCACCATATATTCTTTGCTGGCTGGATATAGAAACTTTCAAATCCAATGTGCAATGCTACGATATTGTAGTGAAAAAACATCAAAATTCTGCTGGTTCCAATAGAGACACTGATCATGATAGTTTATCCGTTAGTACCGATTGTGACTCATATACAGCAGACTCTAGTAGCCTTTATGACTATTCGACTAATAATCTATCTGAGGTTAGGACATCTTATGACGGTGTATGTGATAAAGACTTAAGTGATAGTAGCATTAAGTTTAAAAGTATGAGTGATGATTCAAGTGTCAACGAAAAAAAAAGTGTACAAAATTTAGTTAATAATGCTTTGGTAATATTCAAAAAATATATAGCACAAGAGGCACAATGTAGTATAAGATGTTCAGAAGAAATGAGGAAAGAAATCATGGAAAACATTTGTAATACAGATAAAGTTCTGTTGGGAAACTGTTTTGACTCTGTTCAAAGTTTTGTGCAAAATATAATGGAAACAGAATATTGTTCTGCATTCCTAGGAACTGATTACTTCTGCAAGCATCAAATTGATGTATTAACAAGTGGAAATGTTAATTTAGATGATATTCTATACAATGAAACAGCTTTATTTTATTTCATGGAATATTTGGAACAAGAGAATCAGAGGAATTTACTTGACTTTTGGATAGCTGCCTCAAACTTTCAACAACAATTGAGGGACCAAAAGGATTTTTTTGACCCTATAGAGGCCCAGAATGATGCTGTAGTTTTGTATGACAAATATTTTTCTCTACAGGCACTTTCTCCATTAGGATTCAGTGACAAAGTGAGGTTTGCTGTTGAACAAAGTATTTGTGGTGAAAATGGCTTGATATTGGATTGCTTTCACCTGCCATTGAAAATTGTAGAAAGATTTATTGACAAAAATCATTTGAAAAACTTCTTAGCTTCCCAGCTTTTTTACAAGTACCTTTCTGATTTAATTAATACTGTTCAATGCAATGGTTATTCAACACTAATTGAAAAGAGAAATTCTCCTTCTGACTGCAGCAGTGAAAAAAGTTTCAGTCAGTACCCATTTTTGGCATTAGAAGTACCACAAAGCAACTTTAGGAGAACTGAAAAAAATTCAGGCATGACCATAGATACAAGAGAGCTCAATGATCCAAACTCTCTATGGCGTCGCAAAAAATTTCAAAGGTTGTCTCTTGGCCGTGTTGATGAGTTAGGGAAGTACGAAGCAGAATTTGAACCTGAACCGGACAGAAAGGAATTCAAGTTGAAAAATGTTCTCAAGAAAGTTGTGACCTTAGACTCAGACGAGGTGAACAGAAAAAAAGAAGAAATGGCCTGGCAAGTAGCTGAAATGATTGTAAAAGATATAACAAGGGTTACTTTGAGTAATCATGAATCATGAGGTTATGGCCAATTTTTTTTTAAATAAATACTAGGAAGCAAATGTGACAATAGGTAGTATTGAAACTATTTTATTCTCAAAGTAAAAACAGTTAATTAACTGCTGAAATGGTACGATTTTGAACATTTCTTCCTTTTGTGATTTCATTTGAATTCGTTTTCAACCATAATTGAAGTATTTTCATTTCACAGATGCTCAATGAGAATATTCTAAGATCTTATGACAAATTATTTTAGGCAACTCAAACAATATTGATGTTAGTGAAATCGAGAGACTGAGTTGTATGTGGTTATTTCATTATTGTGCAGCATACATTTGCAAAAAAATTATAATTTTTATCCTTTATGAAATACAAATTTCTACAAAATAAATAGGTCATCAATCGAATACGTTAGACTTAACATTTTTTTTTTTAAATATATACTGGGCATTGAAGAAATAATGCAAACACCTTCTCAGACTCTCAGTTTAAGATTTACGAACATTTATATAGTGTTTTGTATTTCAAATTGCCTCAAATACCTACTAAAAATGCATCATCAGCTTATGGATAATGAAGTTCTGCACAATTAATTCTTTCACTTCCCAAAAGCTGAATATGAGGGCGGTCCCGAAAAACGGGAATTTCGTCATAAATTTTTTGTTTCTCAATATTTTCACAACAAAGTATTCCCCTTAATGCACTTTTCTGACCACTTCTCCAATAATTCAAAACAGTTTCTCAATTCACTTATATGGATGTCCCGATGGTCAAAAATAACTTCACAGAGAGCAGTGTGGGCAGACTTGTTGTAATCTTTTTAAAACCTTTAAGTAGAAATTCTTTGAATAGTATGACCTTGGGGAATGAACTTCGCTTGCAAAACATCTTTACAATTAAAGAAACAAATGAGCATTGTCTTTATTTTTGACTTCAGTTGGCGAGCTCTTTCGGGATGAGATACAAGGTGTCTTCCACAGGTTTGATTTCTTTTTATTTCGAAGTCGTATCCACCATGATTCATCACCAGTAATTCAGGGTCCTCTTGGAGGTGATTTCACAACTCTAAATTTTGTTCGTCTGTGAGAAGGCGAGAGTCAAATTTGACTGGAACTGAATTGACTTCTTACAGCATTGATCGATGATTCGGCGACGGTCTTCACAAACGAAGGCATTGGTTTTGTTAACGTTTTCATCAGTTCTTGACATTGAGGGGCGTCATGTATGTGGTAGGTCTTCAATTGATAGTTCTCCATTTTTAAAACATGAAAACCACTTGTAGACTCTAGTTATACTCAGGGTAGCATCCCCATAAGCGGGCTTGAGCATTTGAATAGTTGAAGTCACCGATTTCTTCTACAGGAAACAAAATGTCACTGTTGCGTGTTGTTCTCGACAATTTGAAATTACTTTTTCACAGGCGAACCGATGCACTCAAGCGAAATAACTTTGTACACTTACTCAGAGGTGATGACCCTACTAGATATCAGGTCGAATAATGCGTTTCCCCATTCTCACTCCAATTCAAGTTTTTTTGGGTCCGCCCTTATAGCTCTCACTATTTGTTTCGTAAATTAATCTAGTCTCTGCCAGTTTAGGTTTGCATACTTGTGAAATTGAAACTAAGCGTTTCACTAAGTAGTAACCTGGATAATAATAGCAAAAAGAGAAAATACCTGAAGTTCTGCAAAACATTAGTGAAAAAGGCGAATCTGTAAGTTTTAGTAACATTTGTTTATATATATATGTATAGTTGGAGAATGATGAAATTGTTTTGCATGAAATATGTAATAGGAATCTATAGCATTTGATTAAGAACTCAAATTTTAATTATTTCAGTTACAACATAGTAACTTCCAAATGTGCCATTTGAAGAAATTGAAAATTATTTTTTTCATTTTTGATGTTGATTCTTTAAAAAAATGTTTATACTGATTTTTATTTGTTAATTTTATTTATATACACTGAAAACCTAGTCAGATCCTAACATGGAATTGAAAATGTTCCACAAAAATGGCAAAAATTATACCTATTCAAAGGTTATTTTAATGGTACCCTCAAGTTATCTACAGTAGACCTATTTCATTTTACTCAGCTTATTCAACACAATAACTCCAACGCATAATAGACAATAACTTGATAGATCCTTATAAATAATCTTTGCTTTGATTTTTGTACAACATATTTCATACCATTAATTAATATGTGGGTTTTTCATGAACTCTATTATGATGCTCTCTTATTATTGCACAAGATTTAAAAAAAATCATACATGTTTGTCTGAGGTGTGTGTTTTCATACTTGGATATTTTTAAGCAAAAATTGAAAAACTTCAAATAGTATCTGAAAATGTGAAAGTATTAAAATTCGCAGAGAAATATTATTGCCTTTGATTGAATTCAAATTGCATTCAAAGTGCGAAAATTCATTTAATGAAAATGTGTGCATTTAGTTTATCGTTTTGAAGACTATTCAAATGTTAAGCTATCCAAGTTTGTGGAAAGTAATCTAACTACTTTTTTTGCTCGTGAACATATTAGCTATGAAAGGAACCAGTGCCCTAGCCTAGAGCAATATGTATAAACATTTATTGAACGCGACGCAACTCTGTTTCATGCAATTTGTGTGAGCTGAATATACTTTTAAAAGCTCTCGATATTGCAATATCACATCTTTGATTTTCTCGCAGATTTTATTCTGAATTAACGTCAATTAAATTAGTTTGCAAAATCTATAAGATTCGTTAACTACTTGGTAATCTTATATGTAGCTGTAGCTGAGGTATTTGGTCGCACTGACTTGTTTGACTTGTGAATTTTTGGTGTACCATAGGATTTAAAATTTATTTATTCATCACTGAAGAATTTACATATACATACGAGAGAATACATATATACATGCAGAAAACTTATCGGACTAGTCACAAGGCGAAAAATTCAGTAATATACAATTCAAAATATGAAGAATATACATACAATTGGATTGAAATTATCTACAATATAGCGTCTAAAAACTCTTCAATGTATGAGAAATACACATATCAAATCAAACTCAATGGGATCAAATCAATTCAATGGGATTGAAAACACAAAAATAGGGGGAAAGTCTCGGTATGGTGTGTCCGTATTTTTCAGCAGTACTCTCAAGGTCATACTTTTTCAAATGTTTCTGTCTGTAAAACTTCAAGTAGTTGGATTTTTGTATAGTAATCTTTGAATTACAAATTGTTATTCATTAAAAAACTTTGCATTTCATCTTTCCTTGAATTTTTATTCGGTACTTTGATGAGCTGTCGCGAATGATAGGAAGCGTTGTCAAGAACTAGGTATTAAGTACACTATTCACATCCAAATTTGAGATCAATGTGTTTTCAAACCATTCTACGAAAATATTAGCTTCCATGTTCTTATGATAGTCAACATTGCAGTCCTCAAGTTTTTTTTCACATAATTTCAAAGAATTCGAAACCCATCCTTTACTTCCTTTGCAATGCACAATGATTAGTCGCGATCCTTTGTTTGCAGGCATGTAAGGCGTACACATTCTCGAACCATCAGTCCATCAGTAAGTGTCATACCTAGTTATGCCCAAATAAAAAATTAGCCGTTGTTCTTGTCTATATTCAGTTAGTTGTAAGTATTTGTTACGCAAAACCACTATTCTTCTGCTTTCCATAACTGCTAGACGTTTGTTTACTATTTAAAATCTAAATCCTAGTTTCTTTATCCAATTCCGAAGAGTTTTGTCTCAGCAGCTCATGTTATGGCTGGAAGTATTCAATTTCTTCCTGATGATTTCTGTTGTTGCTTTTGTAACAGTCATATATTGTTTTTTCAATGATTTTATTAGATGAACATCTAAATATTTTGGTAATCCTGTATCACATCGCGTCTGACGTTCATAAGGTTTGTTTTTGACTATTTTACGAACAGTTGAGAAAGGAATTTCCGTCAAATCTGATGTTGTTTGTAATAGTTTGTTTCCATCGAAACCAAACTTGAGATGAAGATTCTTATATACATTGAAACATACCTACTCTCTGTGTTTCAATATTCAAATGCATCCGAATCGTATTCACTAGTATCTCTTTTTCTTATTGTTCACCATCATCGCTATTGGAATCACTACACTGCTGGAAAAAGTCTGCGTTGTTATCACACTCGTTATTACTATTAGTACTTGTCCAAGGACGCCACATTTTTAACAGATAACAAAAATTTTAAGTAATTATAACTGCACCGATATCGAATTTTAACACTCAAATCGTGATCAGTTTCTGAACTGAACATTGATGGCACGATGGCGATAACCATCCCCGATTTCTATTCGTAACCGTAACATGACTTCAAATTTATTTTATGACTCTGCAGCCAATCATAAAACTCGGTTAGTAAACATTATCCAATAGCTGATTCATTTCTATGTATTGGTTTTTTTGGCCTTTGAGTGTGCACAATATCGTTTACTTCGACTATAATGATATTTTCTTACTGATGCATATTTAACCCACAATGTACGAATGACAGAAATCCTTCTGCATTTATCAGGAGAAAATGTATGCCGGAGTGTGGCGCTCTGATATGACCATGATGTTGGAGAATAGGGGAACATCAACTCCCCAATGACTCAAATGAGTGATCTGTATACAGTATGAGGAAGAGAAAGTCTCGATATTTCTTAAATTCTCCCACCTTTTTTTGTATGATATTCTTATCGATGACGAAAACGATGAATAACGTTTTACTTTGGCGGTCGAAGAGAATTACACATTAGGCTCTTTAATCTGAGTGAATGAATAGTTTCAATGAATTCGGAGATCTCATTTGCCACAATATCAATACTGTTAAAGAATGCCGAAGCACTCGTTATGCCGATGGATCTAAGCATATGCTGGACATGAAGACAGCAAATTCCATACCTCAATAACCATCATGCGACTATGATCAAGATATTGAAGACACTATTCAGACAAGCCATGATGAATCTTCAGTTACCGTTTTCAGCCCAGATCTGAGAAAAGCAAAGTTCTGGTGTTTTGATAAACGGAAGCCTTCAATGTTGATAATGGAAACCCCATTCATCGGCTAATTCTTATGGACTCGCAGAAATGAATTGGCGTCTATGGCTTTGATGTGAACATTTTGTGATGGGTTCTGACTCGTTTACAAATTTGGGGTCACCTCATTCTTTGTCGAAAACCAAACCAAGTTCATTCGCGATCGCCAACTTATAATTTTTTTTGGAGTGTTTTTGGTATCGACTACTAAAGTCAATTACCTATGCATTTGATATATGGCTTTCTATATTATTAAATATTCTATTTATTTATAATAATTCGAATTGATATCACATGTGAAAAACTGTAAGCTGCTTCTTTCCCTTATTAGCTCGTAAATTTGTCACAGAACATTTCTGAGTTGCTCCTATATAGCAATGTTTTATAAACAGATTCACAGAAAAATGTACCTATTTCAGAAAATATCTTGATGTTTATCGTGTGATACTATCATAAATAAATAACCTTTCTCAAAGGTCGAATTTTTGACTTCAAATGTTTTTATCCTTTGTTGTTCTACTAACCCACAAATAGATTAGTTACCCTGCACTTCTAATTATAGGTGTTATGTATTTTTAGAATATATAACAAGTTGTAGTTGAAGTTACGCAAAGAACTACACATCGCAGAAATTGTTTTTTACTTAATAACTATGATTCAAGGATGTTGGAAAACTGATGAGAATGATGAAGGTACAATAACTATTAAGCTATCACCATTGTTCATTAAAATTTGCTTTCCATTTGCACATTTTCAAATGAGAACCATTCGTATCATGAATCAGCTTTATACCTAATACAGGCATTAACTAGTATAGACTTTTTGAAATACTTTTCATTTTGAAGATCATTTCATTAAATTGTACCAGATTTCAAGTGAATACAATTAATTTTGATCATCTTTTTCATCGATTCATAAAAGGTCCCGTTAATTATTCATAGATGGTGCATGTAGTGTGTTACACAGTTTTCTGTATAGTTAAGTATAAAGAGGGGGTGAAACCACTGATAATATATAGGTTGCGCCAAAACCGATTTTTAACTGAGTTTTTCTTGTATACAGGGTGTTTCCTAACTACGGTATGAAACTTGGACAACTGTCTACTGATTAGTAAGGAAGAAGATATTTCACAGAATCTGCATCAGAACCATTTCTCAAGCTGCAATCGATCCTTCCAAGTGATGAAGGGTTTCGTAGAGGGACCGATTCGGCTCTTGCTCCATGAAGTATTTTAGCAGCTTGACTTTTTTAAATAAAAATATTGGCGGCCACTTTTTGACTCGCCGAGTAGTGGGCATTATGGTAATATCTGTGGGTGATATTTTGCGGGCCAGGACAAGTGGAGCCAGGGCTGGTCGGTCTGAAACGCGACAGGTTTTAAATTCACCGACGAGTCCATCAACCCACCAAAATCGATTTTCATTGTTTGATCATCCATCACGTTCTTAAATCTGTGGTTTTTTCCATCGGTGCAACACACCAATCAATCGAGATTGATTGGTGTGTACCTGAACTATTAGGATTTCTTTCAAACTTAGAAATTACTTGTCCAACTATGCATTTATTTGATTGATATTCACCATCTATCGACATATCCACATTTTATAAACAATTTTTGATTACGTTACCAGTTGTCAATTGGGTGAAATTTTACCAAGCGTATTTTATTCATTGCTAAAATCCCATCCATTGAACTCAATCTATCAACGACATCACTGACGGATTGCTGTTGAATTTAAGAACTGTTCCATCCTTTCAAACAGGAGCATTTTAACCCTTTCGTGGGCAGTATTTATTGGTTGTCTCATATTGATGGGTATACATGAATTACCCAGGCTTCAGAATTATTGGAGTAGTGATCCACTTCTGGGATATAAAGGGGTATCAGACGTATTCAGCTCGAAACGATTCCAAAAAATTAACGAAGCACTTCACTGCAATGATAATACTATTGTCCTTCAAGGCAGAGTGCTGATTACGACGAACTCTACAAATTGAGACCACTATTAGATATTTTGAACAATAGGGTTACAAAGTTTGGTGTTCTGCCGACTCACAAACGGGTTTCATTAGCAAATTTGAGATATATTCTGGAAGAGATAAAAAATTCTGTAATATCGAAAACGGGATGGGCGAAAGAGTAGTTTTGAAATCAACAGAACATCTAAAAGGCAGAAATTGTCTTGTAGCTTTCGACAATTTTTTTACGTCAGTATCTTTATTAGAGAAACTACACGAAAAACATATTTATTCCGTTGGAACCGTAAGGAAAGACAAGGGAAAACTTCCTGAAATGATAAAGAGAAACGATAAACTTCAACGTGGGGAGTTTGTTTTTGAGACTTCCGGAGTTGTTGCTGCTACGAAATGGCAGGATAGTAAGTCTGTAACCCTTTTGACTACGGCGGCATTTCCAAAAGATGTTACAACTGTGAAAAGAAAGAACAAAGATGGCACCAGAAACACATTTTATTGTCCCAAAGTTGTCGATTTATATAATAAATATATGGGCGGCGTCGATAAATTCGACCAAAAAAGGAGATATTCTATCGGAAGACTATCACTGAAGTAGTGGCACCGTATAATTATATTTTTTGGTTGATTTATCTGTAGCCAATAGCTACATCTTATATCAAATTTCTCGTCGTCGCTATGTAACCAACTTTCCTATCGCATTACACTGGCGCGACAATTGATAAATAATTACAACTGCAGGAAGAGACGGGGAAAATCAGTACACTTTTTATCAAATAAGAAAGTTGTACCCGAAGAAGTAAGATTGTCTCAAGCGGGAACGCATTTTCCTGAAAAGGGGACCTACAAAAGATGCAGAATTTGCAGTACTAAAGCAAATGAAAAAAGAACAGCATATACCTGTTCTCAGTGCAAAGTGCCAATTTGTATGCCTGTTTGCTTCATTAAACTCTTCTTAAACTTTAATACCTGAAATATTTTTTTAATACATTTTTGAGCGTTGAAGTTTAAAAAAACGATATTTATAAAATATTGTAAATATCCTTACACCGATTTGGTTGAAATTTGCTACAATTATTTGAAGTAATAAGGCGCTTATTTAGCCCGAGCTAGATTGAAATTATAAGGTCCAGTGGCGTCCCAGTGGGCACCACAGCCAAACAAATTAAAAAAAAATATATGTTCAAAATGTTTTTTCCGTTAACCAGCTATCGCACCCCTACGAACGACAACCTTCAGAAGTCGAAACTTATGCGAGCTAAGGACTAACGAGGTCTTACCTTTTAACGTGTGATTCCTAACTCAGGTTGGACGATAGCAAGTGAAAATCGAGCGTTCAGCCTGGGGCTTGAACCATCGACTCACACATCGATCAACTGAACAGACAACTTTTTTGTCGCTTGTGTTTTCTTCATATCAAGCTTTATTTTCGAGAAAAAAATCACTTCTAAAAACTATTCAGGATTAACATAAAATAAAAAGCAAAATTAAATACTAAATAATTTCGACCTTCAAGTAAAGTAAATGAGCAAAATATCCACCTTCTTATAAAATACACGACTGCAATCGATTTGTCATTGATTGTCTGACGTTCAAAAATACCTGGAGTATTCCTTATGACATTGCTATTGACAATTATTCGATTCCTCAAGTTATTCACATCTAGTAGAGGCATTTCATAAACTACAGCCTTCAGATGACTCCATAAATAGAAATCTAGAGGATTTATATCAGGACTGCGAGCTGTCCAATTTTGAGGTTCGGCACGTCCAATCCAGCGATTCGGGTAGGAGTTGTCGAGATGTTGACGAGCAAGAACACTAAAATAAGC